AAAATGCTGGGGCCAGAGCAATAGTATAGTGAGTAGTGTGCTTGCCTTGTATGCAGACTCAGGCTCAATCCTCAGCATCCCATATGATCCCTCGAGCACCTCCAGGAGTAATTTCTTAGAGCAGAGCCAGGAGTAACTCCTTGAACATTCCTGAGTGTGACCAAAAAAAAAAAAAAACAAAAAACAAAAACCCAAAGTGACCAAGGAAGATTCTAATCCAGTCTATCGGACTCTTGCCTCTTTCTAATCTCATCTCTGAGGTTCCTACTATAAATGTATTGTCAGTTAATTGACCACACTCCTTTTGTAAGCCTTCTGTTTTCAGCTTTTTTGTTTTTGGATCACACTTGGTAGTGCTCAGGGCTGACTTCTGGCTCTGTACTCAAGTATCACTCTTGGCAGGCTCAGAGAACCATATGAGGTGCTGGGGATTGAACCCAGGCAAGTACCCTACCTGCTGTACTGATACTTTGGTCGAGTTTTTGTTTTTTTTTTGTTTGTTTATTTGTTTGAGAGAGTCACATCTGGCAGTACTCAGGGCTCACTCCTGGCTCCATGCTCAGAGATCTCTCCCGGCAGTGCTTGATGTCAGTGGGCCCCATGGGTGACTTAGGTGAAGCAGGGAGGAAAAAGATGGTCACTTTCACCCCATCCACCTCTGCCATTCGGATCCCAGAATTACTGGGTTCTTGTCTCGCCTCGCAGAAATGAATTTTAGGAGTAGACAAGGAGTGAAGTAAATAGATTTTATTTGGACGGTTTTTTAAAGGTGTGGAGGGGGAGAGAGAGAGAGAGATAGAGAGAGAGAGAGAGAGAGAGAGAGAGAGAGAGACAGAGAGACAGAGAGAGAGAGACAGAGAGAGAGAGAGAATTCACTCAAGAGAGAATGTGGGCTTCTCCAAGGGCAGAGAGAGTTTCTACATACATCCCAGCATTAGACACAAAAGCATGAAAGTACACATCTCAAGAGGGGAGATGCGGGTGACACATGTGCTTGGGCACTACATATGCTTGGCCACGTGGGCCTAAGCAGCACCTGGGCTTGGGCAGCATATGTGCACCCTTCCTTTGTTCAAGGTGGCTTTTATAGGGTATCTTCTTGGGATATTTTCGTCTGGAATGTTCTGACTTCTTCTCTGGGCTGAATCACTAAAATTAATCGGATTAAGGGAGAGGTCCAATGGTATTTGAGGAATTTCCTTCTTGGGTAGGGTTCCAATCTCCTCAGGGTCCGCTGCTGGTGCAAGGTGACAGTCTTATCAGACCTCAGTTCCTGTTTTCTGCAAGGTTGGCTTTCAACTTCAGAGCTCTGACTTCCTAGGAAATTTACTGCCATCACCTGGGGAGAGGGCCTTCCCTGTCTGCCTGCCAGCCTACATCAGGCTCAGGGACTGTATGTGGTACTGGAGATCAAACCTGGGTCTGCTACATACCAGACAAGTGTCTTACCTGCTGGTCCCTCTGAGTTTGTCTCAGAGTTTGAGATGTACTTCAAGTTCTGGGCTACAGGAAGACCTTTGTACCAGAACTTGAGAGATTCAGAGTCCTAGAGTTTTTGGAACATTGAGAAATAGCTTCTCAGGTACTGCCATATAAAACATAACCCACCCCCACACCCTGCAGGCACTGCAGTATCCTTGTCTTATCAGATGTTACTTTTATCTCCTTTCTTATTTCCTTCTGCCTCATTATTGTAAATAAATACTTAAATCTAAAACCTCCTTCTAGCCTATTTTTCCCTATCCACCAAACTTCTTAAAACCACACCTCGGTCTTCTTGCTATCTGTTTCATATTCAACCCACTACTGTCAGCACTCTCATTAAGATGCTTCTAAGTGTCACCGGGCTGGAGTGATAGCACAGTGCTAGGGCATTTGCCTTGCACATAGCCAGCCCAGCCGAGCCGGGTTCGATTCCTCCGCCACTCTCAAAGAGCCTGGCAAGCTACTGAGAGTATCTCACCCACACAGCAAAGCTGGGCAAGCTACTATTCAATATGCCAAACACAGTAACAACAAATATAAAAAAAAAATGGAGACATTACTGGACCCGTTCAAGCAAATCAATGAACAACGGGAAGAACATGACAGACAGTAAGTGTCACCAAAATTCCTCAACTTGGACCAGAGAGATAGTTCAAGCATGCATCACCACCCGAGCACCACCAGGAGTAAACCTGAGCTCAGAGTCAGAGCACAAAATTTCCTTTTCTTGAATAAGTATCTGACTCACTTTTTATTTCCTGATACACCTATCAGGGTGTATCAGGATGTATCAGGGTGTATCAGGGTGTATCAGGGTGGGGGCTCCTTTCCTAACTAGAACCTGATCAGTCATGGGTCAATCCTGGGTCTCCTGATGCTGGGGATCCAGTGTCTAGCACATGCAGAGCATGACGCCAGCCCTTTGAGATATCTCCCCACCCCAGTAATTGGCCCTTTTATCCCTTGGAATTAAAGGCATAATTCTCTTTGTTTTCCTCCAAAACTCTAATAGTAACTTCTGCTTTGGAGTCTTCTATCACACTGATTCCTCTTCCCATGGTGCAATCTTTGTCAGTGGAAGCGTATACATCCTTATGCTGATGCTTCCTGAGATTCTGTCTTTGGCCTTTTTTCCTTAGGTTCCAAACTACATCTCTGAGTGGATGGACATGTCCCTGCATGTGCTATGGATACCGCCATTACAGTGGTCTGAAACCAGAGCAGTTGATAATGCCTTTTCTTTTCTATCTCCTTTTCCATCCTTCCATGACTCCCTCTTCATTCATACTTTCACTACCTCTTTCCTAGACAGCTATAGTTCTCTGTTGAGTCTCTCTGTTTCTAATATCTCACTCATTCAATATAGATTTTTTTGTAATCTGATTATGTCATCATTGTGCTTAAAATTTCTTCCACAGTTTTTCAGTACCTCTGTAGAAAAAAATCTTATAGCACAGAGTAGATGGCACTGGGCCTAGCGATGGCCTCTCCGCTCTCCAATTTCCTACAAGTCTTCTTGTACTGGTAGTTACTTCCTGTTACTTAGCTTTCACATTCAGCTTGCATGTTCCAGCTTCCCACTTGAGACTTTTCTCTAGCCTGAGAATAACCACAGAAGGGGACCGGTAACGTGTGTGTCAGCTTGAAAGTAAAATCCAGGACCCAAGTGATAGTACAGCAGGTAGGGCACTTGCCTTGCACGTGGCCAACCCAAGTTCAATCTCCAGCATCCTATATGGTCCCTCACCAGTGTCAGGAGTGATTCCTGAGTGCAGAGCTAGGGTTTTGCTGAACTTCACTGGGTTTTCCCCAAAAACAAGCAAAAAAAAAAATCAGATGTATATGCAGGAGCATGTCTATTGTTCACATCTTTTTAATTTGAAAAATGTCAGACATGCAGACACAATAACAAAAGAATATACATTGCCTCACATTCTGTCATCCCAGGTTTGAGCCCCCCCCCCCGTTCCATATGGTCCCCTGACCACCATCAGTAGTAATTTCTGAGTGTCGGAACAACACCTGAACACTATGGGGTGTGTCACCTCCCCACAAACAACCCTTAATCATCCTTAACTCCTCTCATGTACCTTACATTCTATTCATTATAATCTTTTTTAGAATACAATAAGAATCTTAACACTTCTCACCGCTTCTGCCTTGCCCTGAATCAAGCTGGTGTTTTTGTCTCTTTTTTGTTGTTTGTTTGGGGGGACACATCTGATGATACCCAAGGCTTTCCTCTGGCTCTGTGCACAGGGATTATTCCTGGAGGGACTTGGGGCCAAATGGGTTGCTGGGAATCTAACCCAGGTCAGCCACATGCAAGGCAACTGCCTATTCCCTGTAATATGGCTCTTGCCTAAGCATCTTTGGCCATGATCTCTAGGCTCCGCAGGTCTCCCTATTTCCTCTTTGCTATAAAAAGCCATTCTTCACGATTTGCATCCTGTTAACTCAGAGTATGTCTCTTCTCTGCTCAAAACTCTAGAATGGATCCAATGTTCTTCAGAGGACAGGTTGATGTCATCACATTGGCACAGAATGACCCCTTTCATATAGATCTTCATTACCTTGATGCCTTGCCCAGTCCCACCTCTCCCTCTCCTTCACTCTGCTATAGCCACAAAGGCTTTCCTGTGGTGCTCCAAGTTTTTAGGTTCAGTCTATTGTGGCTTTGCATTTTCTTTTTTTCTTCTTGGAAAGTCCCTCCCCATCTATCCCCTTCTGTGGAGACTCATTTGCATTCTCAGTGAAACCCTTCTCAGTTTTTGAGTCTAGGCATCCTCTTTGGAAACTCTTTCTTACCTTATTAAAATAGCAAATTACTAGAGCTCTGTACTTTAACTCTCTGGGCTAAATTTTCCTCATATCAATTATTTTAACCCCTAAGACCTGTGGTGCTCAGGGCTTACTCCTGGCTTTGTGCTCAAGGATCACTCCTGGCGGGACTCAACGGACCACCTGTGGTGCTGGGGATCCAACCCGGGTAGGCGGCATGCAAGGCAAGTGCCCTGCCAGCTGTACTATCTTCTTTGGCCCCACTTAAATTTCTGTTACCTTCTATGAATACTAGAAGTTTGGGTACCTTATATGTGCTGCGAAATTAGATGTAACTTCAGTATTTTTTTTTTTTTTTGCTTTTTGGGTCACACCTGGCGATGCACAGGGGTTACTCCTGGCTTTGCACTCAGGAATTACTCCTGGCGGTGCTCAGGGGACCATATGGGATGCTGGGAATCGAACCCAGGTGGGCAGCGTGCAAGGCAAACGCCCTACCCGCTGTGCAATTTCTCCAGTATTTGGAAGGGTGCCTGGAATAAACGCAGGGGACAAACAACTTGTGCAAAGGAGTAGAGAAAGAGTAACCACAAGGAAGAACCCTTTGAGTAGTGGAAGACTTTCTGGAGGAGTTTGTCCATTACCCACCTGGCACTCCCAAACACCGCTCAGGGAGCATCACGCCAGTCCCAGCCCCCAAACCACGCCCACAGGAGGGCGGAGCGGAGCCCGGAAGCAGCCTCCGAGGCGGAAGCAGTACTGTCTGTCCAGGCCCGGCTCCGACTTGCCCTGGGTTTTCGCCCCGCCCACCTCAATGTGGGTGAAAGTTCGTCTGTGCGGGCACTGAGGCAGGGGCATCGGAGCTGGGCGGGCTAGCAACAGACTAGCACACTACTGCGCGGGCCATGGCCGACGAGGCGAAACCTATCAGTCCGCTCAAAAACCTGCTGGCTGGCGGCTTTGGCGGTGTGTGCCTGGTGTTTGTGGGGCACCCCCTGGACACAGTTAAGGTGCGTGGAGGCTGGGGCGCATGCTGGTGGAAAAGGCCCGGGTCCGCGCGGACTGCAGGGGCTCGCGCGAGGCGCGGCCGCTGACCAGCGGGGGAGGGGGAAGTGGGAGTTTACGTGAGTGCTCTGGTAATCTTCCTTTCTCCCTCCGCCTTCGGGTTCGGAGGAAGCTCTTCCTTGGGTTCCACACCATGCAGAGTAAGTTGCCTCTGACTGCCAATTAAGGGCTTTGATTTAAAGTCCTCTGTCCAGCAGTCTCTCCTGACCTTTGCACCACTTCTTTGGGGGGTGAGAAAGAAAAAGTGCCTTCTCAAAGCTCTGATTTCGGCCAAACTCAACTGTCATCAAGGTTGAAACAGATCGATTTAAGTCAGCCTCCGGAGGAGAAGCTTAAAGACTGGGCACTGTGGTCATACCAGATTTCTTTAGACAAATTGTCCGGAGTTCTCATACCGTTTCTGGCCCCCTGCGGAGAGACTTGATCTTCCTCAGAATGTTATCCCAAGTTAGCCAAAGTGGCTTCCTCTAAGATACAATGGTGTCAGTGACCAATACCCTTCCAGGGAAAGCAAAGACAGACTTTGCCCAGGATCCACCTTATTTATCCTCCAGGTTCCAGGCGAGGAAGGCTGGACCACAGGGGGAATTGGGGGCACTTCTCTTCGGGCTTCTTCCCAGGAGTTTGCATTAGACTTTGTTCCTTCCCCAGTGATAGTTTGAGAAAGGCCAGACTCCATGCCTTATGCTTTAGCATTCAAAACTCCATCCTAGCTTTCTAACCTAATTTCTGAACAGACACGTGTGAATAAATCGACTGATCAGAGTCAGAGAGGGTTGTTGGGAAGCCTAAGAAGTTTGTTTGAATGTCAGATCGCGTTTCCTCTGTGGAAAAATGGCTTTTTCCTCTTGGCAGGTTTGGGCAGTGTGCTCTCTGCTGCCTTTCATCTAGAAAGGGTGCTGAAACCATTCTAGTTTCAAAGCAACCAATTATGTTTCAGGGCACAGTGAAACAAAATTAGAGGCTTATTCAGTTGATTGTAAATCCTGTGCGTCAATGCTTCTCAGAGAGGGTTCCAGCAGCACTGTCTGGAGAGGGAGAATTGTCTGTCTTGTATGTCTTTCTATTGTTGGCTCATGTTGGTACAGAGCCTTTGAGCTATAGATACCTTGATAGCTCTTTAAGGAAAGAAGAAATTTTTATTTTCTACCTTATGTAAATAGGGCTGGAGTGATAGCACAGCAGGTAAGGCCTTTGCCGAGCACGTGGCAGACCCTGCTGACCTGGGTTTGATTCCTCTGCTCCTCTCGGAGAGCCCGGCAAGCTACCTAGAGTATTTCGCCTGGCAAAGCCTGGCAAGCTATTCTATTGATATATGCCAAACATAGTAACAACAAGTCTCATAATGAAGATGTTACTGGGCCTGCTGGAGCAACTGGATGAACAAGGGAAGGACAGTGCTACAGTGTTACATTATGTAAATGTTGCTGCTATCTTCTTCCCCATCAGATGCCAATCTCAGGCAAGGCCGATGACCTCTGCACTGTAATATAAAGGACTGAAAATTCTCGAGAGATAAAGGGATAAAGGAAAGTAGGGCGAAATTTACTTCTACAAAATGTCTTTGTTGGGGACAAAGCAATAATATAGTAGATAGGGTGTTTGCCTTGGACATGGCTGATCCGGGTTCAATTCCCATTGTTCCATATGTTCCCTGAGCAGCACCAGAATTAATTTTTGGTGCAGAACCATCAGTAACCCCTGAGCACTGCCGGATGTGATCCAAAAAAAAAAAAAAAAACTTTGTTGACTACTTTATCTAACTGTTCATAGACTACTGTAAATGGGAGTGAGGACTGGAGCTTTATATCAACCAGATTTAGTTTTAGATCACTTAGAATTTACCAACTCATTTTCCTTGTCTATGAACTAGGAATCTCTTATCTAGAGTCATTAGCTGTGAAAGAAATGGTGAAAGTAAGTGAATGAAGAAATCAGAAGTCATTCTCCCTCATAGTGTGCAACTAATGACTTGTGAGTACAGAGTTTGAGTAAATAAGTGGAAGAAAGAGAAATCTAAATCCAACTGATTAAGTGAAAGCAGAAGACCTGTGTGTACAGGTACAGTATTCTCTGTTCAGTTTGCCGTTTGAGCCACTTCTTCTGACAGACATCTGATTCTGAGAGACCACTTTTATCTAATTCTGGGAGATCACTTTTATGTGGTTGGCTTTGAAGGTATCAAATGTGAGGCCTCACACATGCAAGGCAAGTACCTATTGCTGAGTTGCATCCCAACCCCAAGATGACTGTATTTTAACTTTTGCTTTCAGGTGCGGCTACAGACACAGCCCCCATGTTCTCCTGGACAAGCTCCCATGTATTCTGGAACTCTTGACTGTTTCCAGAAGACTCTTGTTAAAGAGGTATGGTATCTCCATGCTAGCATTCCTCCTGCTCCAAAGAACACTTCGCAGGGTTGACATGTTACTCCCCAGAGGGTGAAGGGAGAGTGTGTGTGTTCTTCTGTGGTTCTTACCCAAACAATGATTTTTCTCACTGTACCATTCTCTGCCTTCTGTTGTCTTGTTTCCTGGAGTCTTTGACAGTTCAAGTTACTGTTTTATTTTAAAAAATCTTTTGTTGGGGCTGGAGAGATAGCACAGCAGGTAGGGTGTTTGCCTTGCACGCGGCCAACCCGGGTTCGATTCCCAGCATCCCATATGGTTCCCTGAGCACTGCCAGGAGTAACTCCTGAGTGCAGAACCAGGAGTAACCTCTGTGCATCGCCAGGTGTGACCCCCCAAAAAAAAAACCTTTTGTTTTTTGGGGCCAAATCTGGCAGTGTTTAGGGCTTACTCTGGTTCTGTATTCAGGGGGATGTTAAATGGAAGAAAACTCAAGTCTGGGTCATTGGATCTATAGGGATAAGTGTCAGAATTTTACATAGTCTGGAGGAAATGTCAATCTTTCAGATCAAGATCACCAGTCTCCAAACTCTTAGGGACACTTAATTGGTTTTAGGTTATTAAGTGATGATGTAATAATTTATAAGCTATTTATTAGAGTGAAACATAGGTATATTATTTTATTTTTTGTTTTTTGGGCCACACCTGGCAATGCTCAGTGGTTACTCCTGGCTCTGCCTTGAGGAACCTGGTAGTGCTCGGCGACCATATGGGGTACCTGGGATTGAACCTAGGTTGACTGTAAGACAAGTGCCCTAGCCACTGTGCTATCTATCTCTCTGGCCCCAACATGGGAATTTATATTGTTTTTGTTTTTTGGGGCCACACCTGGCTATACTCAGGGGTTACTCTTGGTTCCTGGAAGTGCTCAGGGACCAAATGGGATGCTGAGGATCAAACCTGGGTAAGCCACATGCAAGACAAATGCTTTACTCACTGTACTATCATTCTGGTCCACCAGCAGGAACATTTTGAAGTTTTATTTACTAGAGATTTTATCACTCATTTCATTGGTCTGTCAATTTCATTGGTACAGGTACAAAAATGATCTGTTTAAAAATTTTTCTTTGCTCCTATATATAACTCATATGAATAATACTTCATTAGGTCTTTCTTTCTTCCTTCCTTCCTTTCTTTCTTTCTTTCTTTCTTTTTTGGTGGAGTAACACATATTTTTTTATTTAAAAAATATTTTTGGAAACTACAGAGTATTTACTGAAACGTACTTATGTGTTCAAGAGAGAACAAGGGCTTATAGAACAAACCTGGGTCTAAGTCTATTTAGTATTAGTAAACATTCAGAGACCAAGATTCTTCAGGTGTCACCCTAATAAGGAGGGAATATTGACAGGTGAGCTTGAGTGTGGGGGAGAAGTTGTTTCCAGGGTTTCCACAAGACCCTGGATTTCCATAGTAGGGGAAGATGTTTTAGAAATGGAGCCACCCCCACACCCCTGCGAGACAGTTCTGCGTTGGTTTTGGGAAGATCTGTGTGAATGTCCAGTATTTGAGGCAAGCCCAGTGCTCCCTTGAATGTGTGTGATCCTGCTGTTTCTCCTCTCTCTCTGCCCTGAGCAACTTGAATATTTTAATTTTATTTATTTATTTGGGGGGATTTTGAGCCACATTCGGCTGTGCTCAGGGCTGACTCCTGACTCTGTGCCCAGGGATCATACCTGAAGGGGAATGAGGGACCATATGGAATGCCAGGGAATCAAACCCAGGGCAGCCACATGCAAGGCAAACACCCTATGGTCTGTCTCTGGGGTCTCACAACTTGACCATGTTTCTATTTGTTTCTAAACTATATTTTGTCTTGTAATTAAAGTGAAACAAGTAGTAGTCCGTTAGAGAAAGACTTATGTGAAAGTAACAAGGCTGTGTCAAAGTAACAAAGTAATCTTTCTCTCCTAGTTTTTTCAAGGTAAGTTCTTAGGTTGTTTCTGTTTCTTTTCTTTTCTCTTCTCTTTCTTTCTTTTTTTTTTTTTTTGGAGGGGGCCCTCACTGGCAAGGTTCAGGAGTTACTCCTTAGATTAAACTTGGGTGAGCCTTGTGCACGGTAAGTATACCCTACCCATTGTATTATCTCCCAGCCCCTTGTTAGGCTGTTTCTGCCTAACTATATAATACACAGTTCATATTTGTTTTATTTTATTGATTTATTTTGTCTTATTTTGGGCTTGGTGATTGAGATTAAGACTTTATACAGATGAGGCATGTACTCACTCATGGAGCCACATCCTTGGCCTATAGCTGATGTTTTTATAAGTTTAGTTACCCAGTTACCCATTTAAGGTAAATGGTTTATCTCTCCTGCTTCCACTATTTGCTTTTTCTGCTTTTCCCATAAAAGTTTATCATATAGGGAGCTGGAGTGATAATATAGGGCATAAGACACTTGCCTTGCATGTGCCTGACCTAAATTTGATCCCTGTCATCCCATGTGGTCTTCTGAGCTGGCAAGAAATGACCCCTGAGCTCAGAGACAGGACTAACTCCTGAGCATTTCCGGGGGGTTGGTCCAAAAATAAAAAGAATTTACATTGTTTAATGCAATTTATTATTTTAATTATTATAATTTTATATTCATCTTTTTCCCAGTTAATTAAAGTAATGCGTTATGGTGTTTACTTTCTTTCTTTCTTTCTTTTTTTTTTTAATGTAGGAGTACTGCTATTTATTCAGCCACTGATTAGGCTGATTGAATTGGGCATGAACTCCACCTTACTCTTTTTTTTTCATTTTTTATAATTTTATTTATTGAATTACTGTGAGAGCAGTTACAAAGCTTTCAGGGTTTAAGTCTCAGTCATACAATAAAACACCCGAACCTTCACCAGTGCCCATTCTCCACCACCAAAAACCCCAGTGAGCCCCCATCCCACACCCTCCCCCTACCTGTGGGACAGATGATTTCCACATTACTCTCTCTCTACTTTGATTACATTCAATATTTTGACACCAGACTCACCATTATTATTTGGGATTTTACCTCAACACTCAGATCTGTTGAAAAGGAACAGTAGAAAATTTGTTTTCTATTGCTGGTTATGAATAACATATGATGTCACATGGCTGCAGTAGTGGCCACACAATTTTGAAATTCCAAATTTTTTTTTTTTTGCTTTTTTGGGTCACACCCAGCAATGCTCAGGAGTTACTCCTGGCTCATGCACTCAGGAATTACTCCTGGCAGTGCTTGGGGGACCATATGGGATGCTGGGGATCGAACCTGGGTCGGCTGCGTGCAAGACAAATGCCCTACCCACTGTACCATCACTCCAGTCCCGAAATTCCGAAATTTTAACAATTAAATCTGGAGGGATTTCTGCCCAAACATGCTGGGTTCCGAGATTTGTTCCTGAGTCTCTGGGATCATGGCTCTTAAGCAGCTTGATCAGGAGCCACAGAGGCTGTTCGTGGGCACAACTTTGGGTCTTGTTGGGATGGGGAGGAAAGGGCTCTCTCTACCCCCATCCTATGAGGCCCTGCATGTGTCGTCACTGCGGGCCCAAACCAGACTGTCCAGTGGCCTCTCATGGACAGCGGCCACCAAGCTGCCAAGGGGGAGCAGGCAGAAGAGGGACAGTACCCTTTGCCCCTGGGGTCGCCCGGCGATAGTAACCTACTGCGCAGTCCAGACACATTTCTACCAAAAGCCGCTGGGTTTTGAGATTTGTTTCTGAGTCTCTGGGATCATGACCGTTAAGCAGTCTGATCAGGAACCAGAGAGGCAATGCCTCCAATTATATAGCTGAGCCAGAGGTGGTTTGTGGGTGTGTCTCTCACACACCTAACTTTTGGCCGTTTACTTTCTTGGTAAACTTTTCTCCAAGTTTTTGGGGTCTGGCCAAAGGCACAACAGCAATTTTGGGGTATCTGGAAGTCTAAAGGCGCCATCAGGCTGCTGATACACTCGCCTCACAGGTACAGATTGACCTGCTGGAGGCACCATACCCCTTAATTTCTTTTTTGGGGTGGGGAGGAGATTCCCCCTGGCAAGGAATTGGAGGATCATGTGGTGTTGGGATTGAACTAGATTGGCTACATGCAGGGCAAGCACCTTTCTGCTGTACTATCTAACTCTCATTTTATTTATTTATTTATTTATTTATTTTTCTCCCCTCCCCCCAACTCTCATTTTAGTGTTTAGAAAATTTCTTAATCACAAGCCAAAGAGATAGATTGTTTGCAGTTTGATCCCTAGCACTTCTTGTCCTCCAGTCCCCTGGGATGATCCCTGAGTATAGAGCCTTAGGAGTGAGCCCTAAGCATAGCTGGGCATGTTCCCTGAATAAACAAAACTCATTTCTTAATCACCTATAATTTCAATTCAGGGAAGTCAGACTCATTGTACAGCCTAATATGTTCGCTATTTGTTTGTGTGTTTGCTTTTTTAGATTTTCCACTTAGTATCTTTTCTCATATCACAATTTGATTTTATGGCTGTATAGTAACCATATATGTAGTAACCATATGGCTGGAGCGATAGCACAGCGGTAGGGCGTTTGCCTTGCACGCAGACAACATGGCCGACCCGAGTTCGATTCCTCCGCCCCTCTCTGAGAGCCCGGCAAGCTACCGAGAGTATCTTGCCCGTACGGCAGAGCCTGGCAAGCTCCCCGTGACGTATTCGATATGCCAAACACAGTAACAACAAAGTCTCCAATGGAGATGTTACTGGGCCCGCTCGAGCAAATTGATGATCAACAGGAGGGCCTTTACTTTACTTTTACTATAGTAACCATAAAATATATGGAATTTCCATAATTAAAATTTCTATTTATGGAATTCCCAGAATTTAATCTTCTGTTGGGGAGCTTTTTTTTGGCCACACCTGGCTGCTCTCAGGACTTCTTCCTGGTCCCACACACAGGTATAACTTAAGTTAGGGCTTGGGGGTCCATATAGGGTGCTGGGAATCCAACCATACGAAAAGCAAGTGTCCTACTTACTGTACTATTACTCCAGCACCTGGCAATGATCAGGGGTTACTCCTGGCTCTGTACTCAGGAATCACTTCTGGTGAGCTCAGGAGACCATATGGGATACTAGGGATTGAACCAGGGATGGTTACCTGTTCTCACTTCTAGAAATCACTTCTATATATCTAAAGAATATGAAAATACAAACACAAGAAGCTATATCCACCCCAGCGTTTTTGTTTTTGGGTCATACATGACTGTCCTTAGGACTTATTCCTGGTTCTGTGCTTAGGGGACTATATAGGATCCCTAGGATTTAATACAGGCTGGCTGTGTGCCAGGCAGGTACCCTTCCTGCTCAACTATCTCTCTGACTCCATCCAACCTAATATTTTTGGCAATATTATTTATAGTAGCTGGGACCCGACTGACCCGGGTTCAATTGCTCCGCCCCTCTTGGAGAGCCCAGCAAGCAACTGAAAGTATCTCGCCCACACGGCAAAGCCTGGCAAGCTCCCCATGACATATTCGATAAGCCAAACACAGTAACAAGTCTCACAATGGAGACATTACTGGGCCTGCTCAAAAAAATCGATGAACAACGGGAGGACAGTGACAGTGACAGTGACAACTGGGATATTAAAACAACTGATATGCTTGTCTGTGGACTGTTCGATCAAGAAGATGTGATATATATATATTTATTTTATTTTGGGGACCACACCTGACAATGCTCAGGGGTTATTCCACTCAGGAATTACTACTGGTGTTTCTATGGGGACCATCTGGGATGTCAGGGATTGAACCAGGGTCATTCACATGTAAGGCAAGTGCTCTACCCCCGGACTATCTCTCCAGCCCCAAGGATCTGATATTCAGTGAAATACTGTTTATCTTTTAACAAAGATGAAATTTTGGGCCAAGTATGTGGCTTAGGGATAGAACAGTTGCCTTGAGGACGTGGGTTCTATCCCTGATACTGGAAAAAAAAAAGAAAAAAGGTAAAAACTCACAGAAGGAATCCAGTGGGATTATGCAAAACAGAATAAATCAGAAATAAAAAGACAGGTATTAGATTATTATATTTACATGTGCAAAATAAGGAAATAGAATTGTAGAACTGATAAAAACAAAATAAACCAGTGGATACTGACAATAGAACTGAGGTTATCTAAGGGGCAAAAGGTGGTACTGGGAGAATGGTGGAGGCAGTGTAAGAAAAGGTGGTGGGTTTTATTTGTTTGATAAGCTTATGGGGTGAGGAAGATAGCTCAAAGGGCAGGAGTGCATGCTGTGCATGTGGGAGCCCTGGGTGTGATCTCCAGCATTGCATGGTAACCTCCAGCACAGCAGGGAGTGACCCTGTAGCACTGACCTTGGAGTAGCCCTAAGCTACCATCAGGTATGGTCCTAAAACAAAATAAAATAAAACTATTCCAAAATTTTGCCACCTTCTTAATGCCCCTAGGGCCGGAGCGATAGCATAGCTGGCAGGGTGCTTGCTTTACACATGCCTGACCCAGATTTGATTCCCAGCATCCCATGCGTATGATCCCCTGAGCTCACTGGGAGTAATTCCTGAGTGCAGAGCTAGGAGTAAACCCTGAGCACACTGGGTATGACCCCCTTCAAAAAGAAATCTAAATGCCTGTGTCATGATTTTTACACCACTGAGTATTTTGTTAGAATACATTTCTGGACAGACAATTTCCTGCTAAAATCATAGTGCAGACTTCCTTTTAAAATGAAGCTCTTCTCAGTTTTTTCAGCAGTGTGGAAAAGGATAGCTATTTCCAATATGGGGGCTCTGCTTCCTTTTGCTCTCTTTGCTTGGAGAAGAGGTTAAGGCAGGATGCCACCAGGCAGAGAATCTTCTGCTCCTTGTGCAGTGATATAGATGGTGGTGGTGGTGGTGTAAACAGCTTGTGCTTCTGTGATTCCTTGCAGGGCATCACAGGACTCTATCGGGGCATGGCTGCACCCATCATAGGGGTCACCCCCATGTTCGCTGTGTGCTTCTTTGGATTTGGTTTAGGGAAGAAACTGCAACAAAAATCGCCAGATGATGTGCTCAGGTAAGTGCTTTTAAGTTTGGTTCACTTGATACTTTTTTTTTTCTTTTTGGATCACACCTGGCGATGCACAGGGGTTACTCTTGGCTTTGCACTCAAGAAGTACTCCTGGTGGTGCTTGAGGAACCACATGGGATGCTGGGAATCAAACCCGGGTTAACCGCGTGCAAGGCAAATGCCCTACTCATTGTACTATCTCTCCAGCTCCAAACACTTGATACTTTTCTTCCTGGTGTATGACATGCAAACTTTGGGTGGTAATATAGTTCAGCAGTAGAACATATGCCTTGCAAGTATGAGACCCTGGGTTGATCTTTCACATAAAAAATTAAAATTTAAAACACTATAGCATTGTCCTCCCATTGTTCATCGATTTGCTCGGGCGGGCACCAGTAATGTCTCCATTGTGAGACTTGTTGTTACTGTTTTTGGCATATCAAATACTCCACGGGGAGCTTGCCAGGCTTTGCCATGTGGGCGGGATACTCTCAGTAGCTTGCGGGGCTCTCTGAGAAGGACGGAGGAATTAAACCCAGGTTGGCCGTGTGCAAGGCAAACACCCTAACCACTGTGCTATTGCTCCATATATATGCCTCGCTTTGAATATATTATATATGTGTATATATGCACACATATATACACATATATAATATATATTACATATATATATTTGAAGGAGCTTCACAAGCACTACTTGGGGGCATAAGGGCAACTCTCAGTATTACTCAGCCTGACTCTGCAGGGTTATTTAAAACAATAATAATATTTAAAATAATAATGATAATAATAATAAAATTACATTTATAAAAAAGGAAAAGAACCTTCACAGACAGACAGAGATTGTTTTTCTGAGCCCTAGAGGCTGCCCCTGGGAGCTCTGCACAGGAGAGGTACTTGACTTTCCTTTGCTCTGTCAGTGGAAAGGGATAAGGCACTCCTCCATCTTCAGATGTTCTTAATTTCTTTTGGAAGGTAGTATGGCTTACTAGGGATATTAGTACTGCCACCTTCCGGGGGTCATTGGGAGGTCTGAATACTAAACTCTAGAAAAAATGAATGTTCACAGCATGCTCTGGGTTCTATCTCCAGTACACAATGACTCCTATTACCATGAGACCTTCCATCCTGGGTGGCCATAGACTCCAAGAACTGCTGGGTATACTCTCTATTTTTAAAACATGTTGAGAGCTAAAACCTTGTTTTTCTTTTATCTGGTTAGGAAAAGGGAAGATTCCAACTTTTGTTTTACTTCAATCTTATGACCATAATTATTTCAAAAACTGGTTTGTCTTGTAGTGAAATAAATGGTATATTTCCCTTTGGTACACTTTTAAGAAGTTAGATTTGGGTATGCAGAGGCATATACAAGTCAGTCTTTGTTGGATGCAGAATTCTGAGTGGAAACATAGGTGACAAGGTGCTCTAGCTTTGAGCTGTGTTGGTGACAATTCCTGGGAGTGACTGCAGGGACACACAGGGGCAGATGGACTTGGGACCCAGAGCTCAAGGGAGAAAGAGCAAGATTGCCATGTGATGGATTTTGGTCACTGTCTCAGACTCCAGCATGCTTAGGTCAGGTGAACTGGAATCCTTGTGACCTTCTTCTGCATATGCCCAGTTTGTAGTAACAGTTGGATATATCCCTGAATGTGATGCACAGGGGTTACTCCTGGTTCTTCATTCAAGAATTACTCCTGGTGGTGCTCGGGGGACCATATGGGATGTTGGGAATTAAACTCGGGTCGGCCGCGTGCAAGGCAAACGCCCTACCCGCTGTGCTATTGCTCCAGCCCCTGCAGTGGGAGCATATGGAAAGAAGCATTACCAGGAAGGTTCAGCTTTCCCAGGTATGGCATGGGCCTTGCAGTCTCAGTGTTCACATGGTAGCCTGTGCATGCTCTGAGGTCCCACTCACAGGGAAGGTCCCAGTCTCAGGAGATTAAGGTATGCCCAACCTGGAGTCTGGGTATTTTGGGAATAATAGGCAGGAGATGAGGTTTCATTAGTGAGGGCTCTTGGGGATAGCACAGAGAGCTGACAATGGGAAGGAGGTCACACATGAGAACAAATCATTTGCCTGTTCAGTAGTTAGTCTGTGTGCTGGGCTTGCATGCCTGAGGAAGCTGTGCAAGCCCAGGCTGAGATATGTGTGAGGAAAAGATCGGACTTTGAGACTGGTACTCTGCTTGGTAGGAAGGACTAGCAGTGGATATCTCCCTACTTCCATTTGGACTTCAGTGCTTCAGGTTTGGGGTCCTTTGCAGGAACTGGCTTGAAGTTTCAGTTTTTAGAGTCTTAAGATCAGGAAAAGCCTGAAACTCAGTTATCCAAGTGAAATTTTTAAAAAATTTGTTGGTTTTGGGCCATACCAGTTTTGCGCAGAGCTTATTCCTGGTTCTGTGCTAAAAGTTAACTCTTGGCAGGTCTTGATCATATGTTTTGCTGGGGTTGAACTGGGTCTACTGCATGCAAGGCAAGCATCTTACCCTCTCTACTATCTCTTAAACCTTACAAGTGAAGTTTTTTTGTTTGTTTGTTTTTGGACCACACCCAGCAATGCTTAGGGTTTCTTCTGACTCTGCACTCAGGAATCACTCTGCACTCAGGAATCACTCCTGGGGACCATATGGAATGCAAGGCAAACAAGGCATACAAGGCAAACACCCTACCTGCTGTGCTAATGTTCCAGCCACCTTACAAGTGAAATTTTTAAACAATTGTGAATTGGGGGGATTCTTCTGAAATGACAATTGTAACTTTGTCTCCCGTTGTCTCCAGACTATGCTGGTATTAAACTCAGAAGAAAAAGAGATGGGAGAAGTGACATAGACAGCTGAGGATATCCGTGGCTAGAGCCTCAGACTCCTCTAATTAACTCAGTGTGGCTGATTCTATGGGGATAGAGTGAGGATCCATCTCTCTAGTCAATGGGAAAATCATTATTTGCAGAGGATTACAGGATCCATCATGTTTCCCTGGGAATCATCCCTTGGTCTTTTACAGTACCTCTGCACATTATTTCTCAATGGACTTGGCTACCCTTCAACTAAGCTGTTCCTTTGACTTTGGCAACAACCTGCTTGAGTCTCGGGTTGAAATTTTGTCAGGAACTTGGTGATCAAGAGGAGGTGAGACTGGAAGTGAACCCATCTAAGATCCAGATCCTTGGTTAGAGGCTTTTCCTCTCTCTCTAACTCTGAATTTTACACTTGAGTAACTAATACTCAGAGAATCCTGTACATTTGCCCATAGCTATTTTGCATGACAGGCCCAGAGAAGAAACTTTCTCTCACTATAAAGCCCTTTCACTGGATGAGATCACCTAAGTGTATAGATGTACCTTGTGACCAAGCTCCTCTTGCCTTTGGTGCTGGGAAATTTGACATTTGAATACACACACCTAAGACTGATTTTGTGTGTGTTTATGTGTATGTGTGTTAAATATGATTTGTTCTGGTCTGTTGACCTGTCCAAGTACTTTATTTTTCCTTTTTTTTTTTTTATGGGAGTGTAGTGCATTGGCTATTGGGGTGTTTGGGCCACACCAGTGATGCACAGGGACTAGTCTACCATATGTGCTGCCAGGTTTGAACCTAGGCCTCCTTCAGGCAAAGCATGCACTTAGGCCTGTTGAGTTCTCTCTCTAGCCCCCAGGTACTTACTTTTTCGTTCAAAATCATTCTTCTTGCTGGCATTGCCTGGGTTATTAGTCATAGGTACTTAATTCTGCTTTCTGTTTTTAATCCCTCCCCACCCCCAACTATCATGGAGGCCAGTCTTAGTGGTGTTTAAGTTTGTGGCTACTTGGGACTGTGTTGTGCTGGAGATGGAACCCAGTCTTGCACATACTAGTCATATAGTCCACCACTAGAATCACATTCCTGGTCTGGTTTTTGTTTCCAATGCAGCTACCCCCAGCTCTTTGCAGCTGGAATGTTATCTGGAGTTTTCACCACAGGAATCATGACTCCTGGAGAACGGATCAAGTGCTTATTACAGGTAAGGGTGTTATCTGGGGGTGGGAAGTGTGGTCACGGGTGTGGCGGGGGAAACGGAATTGCTAGTTTTACCATACAGTATACAAATTTGTGTGGCTGTTTATGTCCTTTTACTCTTTATAAAGGCTTCATTCAGGTCAGGTGTGCAAAACAGTTTCAAGGTTTTCAGGAAAATGGAAGCAATCGTAGTAGAACCAAGAACCAGGACAATATAACAAACCAACCAAAATGTCACATCTGTGACATGTCAGCCCAGGCTTATCCACCCTTACTAGCAGCTACTTCCTGGAACTCAGCGAGGTGAGTCATGTTTTAGCAGAGATGAAAAGGAAGCTACTTCTCTCTCTCTTTTTTTGGGGGCTACCCCTGATGGTGCTCAGGGCTTAATCCCGGCTCTTTGTTCAACTGGAGATTGAACCAGGGTCAGCCACTTTCAAGGCAAGCATCTAACTTAACTCTCTGCCCCTTTGGGGCCCTAAAGCTACTTCTTTTTCTTCTTGTTCTTTGAAGGTCTTTGCAGGTATGTTCAGGAGTCCCTACAGAACCTCTCCTGGGTTATACTTGTGCTGACTGTGTGAACCTGAAAGTTCGTGCTTGGGCCTTGCAATGCTCTACTGCTTGGATTCAGTGATCACAGTCACACCCAGCGTTGCCCTGGTGACTGTGCAGTTCTGGGAAGTGCCTTGTGCATGCAGAGGGCTCCAGCTTGAGCTATCTTGCCAGCTCAGACTACTTCTGCCCATTATATCTCTTATTTCTACAAGATGCCCAAAAGCTAAGTGCCCTTAGAGTTATCTGACGTAATCTCAGACTGAGGGTGGTTGCCTGCCTTACTTTACAGGGCTCCTTTTCAAAAAGAAATGTTTGGGGCAAGAGTGATAGCACAGCAGGTAGGGTATTTGCCTTTAACGCGGCTGACCTGGGTTCAATTCTCAACATCCCATATGGTCCCCCAAGCACCGCCAGGAGTAATTCCTGAGTGCAGAGCCAGGAGTTATCCCCTGTGCATGGCCAGGTGTGACCCAAAAAGCAAAAAAGTGGGGAAAAAAAAGAAAAAAAAAGAAATTTTCATATGTTCTAATTCTACCTAACTGAGGTAACAACACATAACTTTTACTAGAAAATTTTGATAATACAGAAATGTGCAAAGAAAGAAAAAGTACTTCCCAGGATACTTTCATTCACTGAGGTAATATTTGCTGTCTTGCTTTGGGCTTGAATTCTTGTGTTTCTGGTAAACTTGTGTATTAAGAAATATTATCTTTTTTTTGGTTTTTTTATTTGAGCTGCACATGGCAGTGCCCTGGCATTAGCTTCTGATTTATAATTTCAGCCAGCCTGTGATAGTTGAAAAATTTATTTCATGCTGATATTGTTGGCAATGTTAATTATTTCTATGAATATTATTTATTTGTGATTTTATTTTGTAAAGTGCCTATATTCTTTGCTCACTTTCTCTGTTTAATTTTAGTTGTTGTGGGGCTGGAGCGATACTATAGCTCACCTGTGTTCCATCCCAGGCATTCTCTGTGATCCCCTCAGCCTGCCAGGAGAAATCCCTAAGTGAAGAGCCAGGAGTAAGCACTGAGCGCTGCTGGTTATGGCCCCCAAACAACAACAACAATTTTTTTTTTTGGTTGCTGCCATTACTGTGCCTAGGGGCCACAGGTGGAGGTGCTTGGGGCCATTCAGAAATGTACTCTACCGCTTGAGCTATATCCCAAGCCCTGTTTGTATTAATTAATTTTTACTATTTTAGTCTTAACTATGAATTAAATTAATTAATTTTAATTATTTTTTATATTGGGGCCATACCCAATGATGCTCAATGCTTACCATTGTACAGTCTCTTTGGTCTCATGAACTTCAGCTATAAAGTAAACTGAATTCATTATTTTTTTACATTTTAATTTACTTTTTAATTTTTTTTTCCCTTTTGGGCCACACACTAGTAATACACAGGGGTTACTCCTGGCTCTGCACTCAGGAATTACTCCAGGCTGTGCTCTGGGGACCACATGGAGAGCCAGCAATTGGACCTGGGTCAGCTGCGTGTAAGACTCATGCCCTACTGACTGTACTATCACTCTGGCCCCATAATATCTTTTACTCACGGAATTTTACTGAGTAGAAGTTTTTGGTATGCTCTCTGATTATCTACTATAACGGCTTTATTTAATTTTTTTTGGCCACACTGGCTATGCTCAGGACTTACTTCTGGCTCTGCACTCAAAGGTCATTCCTGGCAGGGCCCAGGGGACCATATATGGGGTGTTGGATTGAACCTGTGTGCACACAGGGTCAGCTGCAAGGCAAGTAAGTGATCTACCTGCTGTCCTATTTCTCCGGTCTTCTTGTTTTATTTTTATTAAAAAGTTAAATTAGCTATCTCGCAGTGATTCAATAAAAAACTGGAAAAAAATTTAAATTAGGGGCTGGAGTGATAGTACAGTGGGTAGGGTGTTTGCCTTGACCTGGGTTCAATCCCCAGCATTCCATGTAGTCCCCCAAGTACCACCAGGAATGATTCCTGAGGGCAGAGGCAGGAATAACCCCTGAGCATCGCCGGGTGTGACCCAAAAAGCAAATAAATAAATAAAGTTAAAAAAACCTCCAAAATAATTTGCAAGCCTAAATGATTTTATTATAAAATTCTACCAAATATTTGAAGAATTAACACCAATTATTTACAATCTCTCTCAAAAAAAAAACAGTAGAGGATGGAATACTTTCTAATTAATTTTATGAAGCTGATACTAGTTTTAGTAGTATTTGACATAAAAACCAAAGCTATTTTAAGAAAGAAACATAGACCAGTATCATTTATGATTATAGGTAAGGTCCTTTACAAAATATAAGCAGGGGCCTGGAGAGATAGTATAGAGGTTAAGACTACTGCCTGGCATGCAGTCAACTGTGGTTTTGTCCTTGGCATCATGTTGTCCCTATTGCCCAACCCTACATATTGTATTTTAATTTTTAGTATGCTCAGTGTGGGGCCAAAGTGATTATATAGTAGGTAGGGTGCTTGCCTTGCACACGGCCAACCAGGTTTGATTTCCAGCATCCCATATAGCTCCCTGAGCACAACCAAAAATAATTTCTTTTTTTCCCTCTTAATTTAATTTTGACTTAATTAGGGGCTGGAGCAATAGCACAGCGGGTGGGGCGTTTGCCTTACACGTGGCCAACCCAGGTTCGATTTCCAGCATCCCATATGGTCCCCCGAGCACCGCCAGGGGTGATTCCTGAGTGCAGAGCCAGGAGTAATCTCTGTGCATCACCGGGTGTGACCCAAAAAAAAATTTTTTTTTCACTTAATTAATTAATTAGTTCTTCGGACTGTACCCAGTGATGATCAGGGGTTGCTCCTGGCTCTGCACTCAGTTGTCACTCTATTCTCTCTCCTGCCCCTGAGATTTCTTTTTCTTTTTTTCTTTTTTTTTCTGAGATTTCTTTTTGACTCATGGGTTACAATCAGTTTCCAGAAGTTAGAGATTATTGATTTCATTGTGACCAGAATATTGTGTGTAATTTACATTCTTTTAAATTTATTCTTCCTCTCTCTCTCCCTCTCTCTTCTTCTCTGTCTGTCTTTTTGTTTTTGTTTTTGTTTTTGGTCTGCACTCAGTGGTGCTCAGGACTGACTCCTGGCAGGGCTCCAGGGCTGTGGAACCTTGTAGATCATGTGCAGAGCAAGTGCCCTGTTCTATCTTCTGGCCCTTTGTTCAGCTTCTTGGATCTCTAATGTGTATCTTGCCAAATTTAGAAAGTTCTGACAGTGACTTCTATTACGTTCCAGTCCTACCTCCTTTATTCCTCTTCTGGACTTTGAGGACATAGAAATTTTTTCTTTTTTTTAATTCCCACAGGCATTCTGTTAAATTTTTTTAGTTTGCACTGCACTGTCCTCCCGTTGTTCATCAAGTTGCTCAAGTGGGTCCATTGTGAGACTTGTTGTTACTGTGTTTGGTATATCGAATATGTCACAGGGAGCTTGCCAGGCTCTGCCGCACAGGCGAGATATTCTCGGTAGCTTGTCAGGCTCTCCAAGAGGGGCGGAAGAATCGAACCTGGGTCAGCTGGGTTGGTCATGTGCAAGGCAAATACCCTACAGATGTACTATCGCTCCAGCCCTATTTTAGTTTATTTTCTTTTTATTCAGACAAACCTTTCCATGATTCTTTCTTCACCTATTTTTTTCTCTCTTCCCACAGTTCTATTGTACAGACCAGTTACTAAGTTTTTTATTTTGGTTGCACTTAATTTTGTTGTTGTTTGGTGGGCCCGCCTGGCAGCGCTAAGGGCATACTCCTGGCTCTATGCTCAAGAATCACTCCTGGTGGGGAACAGTGGCCACCATATGTAGTGTTGGAGCTGGAATCCAGGTCAAATGCGTGTAAAACCTTATCCACTGTACTATCTTTCTGGCCCCCCATCGTGTTTCTTTAATCCTGTAATTTTCCTTTAGGCTAAATATGTGGCTCAGTGGTAGAGCATGTACCTCAAGTGTCTGTGAGGTCTTTGTTTGATCCATTATACCATACACAGACACACGTGTATACACACACAAAGTTCTCCTTTATATTCTCTATTTCTGTTCTGAGACTTTTATAATTTATCATGTTTCGAGTGTATTATTTTTTTTGCGGGGGGAGTTGGTTGGGGAGGGAGAGGATGCACCACACCCAGAAGTGCTCAGGGCTTACTTCTGGCTCTGTGCTCAGGGATCACTCCTGACAGTCTTGGGGGACCATATAAGGTGCTAGGGTTGGAACTCTGGTTGACCACCTGCAAGGCAATATTATTATACCTGCCTGCTATATTATCTCTCCAGGGCTGCATATTCTTAATTGTATCTTGAAGATTTTTAATTTTTAATCAGAATTGCCTTAAAATCTGTTATGTAACTAACTTTTTTTTGCAGGGGTTGCCCATGCAGCAGTGCTGAGGGTTAACTCCTGGCTCTACACTCAGTAATTACTCTTGGTGGTACTCAGGAGGCCATACGGGATGCTGGGGATTGAACCTGGGTTGACCATGTACAAGGCAAGCGCCTTACCCACTGTGCTATCTCTCCAGCCCCTATAGCTAACTTTTTTGGGGGGACCGCACTCAGTGGTACTTAGGGCTACCCTCAGAGGTATTTGTTTGGAGATTGGGTATTAAATCTGGGACTCTGGCATATCTTGATGTTGGCATCTCTTGCCCTATTTTGATTAAAATTTTTTTAATTATTTTTTCTTTTTGGGTCACACCTGGCGATGTACAGGGGTTACTCCTGACTCTGCACTCAGGAATTATTACTGGCGGTGCTCAGGGGGACCATATGGGATGCTGGGAATTGAACCCAGGTCTGCTGCATGCAAGGCAAATGCCTTACCCTCTGTGCTATCTCTCCAGCCCCCTGTTTTTTTTAATTTTTAAAAATTTATTTATTTTATTTTTTAATTTGTTTATTGAATCACCATGAGATACACAGTTACAAAGTTGTTCATGATTGGTTTTGTTACACAATGTTCAAATAGCAGTCCAACCCTGTTTCTTTAAATTTAGGATCTTCCTGGTTTTGAGCGTGGTGGGCAATTTTCAATTAAAACCTGAATATTTGCATATTACGTTGAGACTCTGACTCTTATGTCAACTTGGTTTTAGCTCACTTTCTCTGATCCCACTTCAGTAGGGATGGGAAAGATGCTACCATGTTATTGCTAGGCAGAAGTCTGGTGCTCTGCCTGGCCTCTGTTGATATCTCAGGAATACTTTTTTTTCCCTCTAGGTGTGGGAGTTTCATTGTCTCCATTGACACCATGGGATAAGAGATGCACTGGTTACCATTTGCGAAGGATGAAAGTCCTTGTTCCCTACTTGGCCTTCTCTGACTCCATCCTGACTGCCTGTCAGGTGCCTTTTTACAGCTTTCTGAGGTGGAAGACTGTTTTTTATTGGCAGCATGGATGGAGGCCACAGTTTTGTCTTTAGTTTTTGGCCAGAACAAAATGTTTATTGTGACAAGCTTTCTTTTTTTTTTTTTTCTGTCTTTTTTTGGGGGGGAGCTGGAGTGATAGCACAGCAGGTAGGGTGTTTGCCTTGCACGCGGCCGTCCTGGGTTCCATTCCTCTGCCCCTCTTGGAGAGCCTGGCAAGCTACTGAGAGTATCCTGCCCACATGGCAGAGCCTGGCAAGCTCCCTGTGGCTACTAAACAGCAGTTACCAAAAATAGTAACAGTAACAACAAGTCTCACAATAGAGACGTTACTGGTGCCTGTTCGAAGATGCTCAGAGGTTGCTCCTAGCTCTGAGCTCAGAATTATTCCTGGTGGTGCTCGGGAAACTATGTGGGGGCCAGGGGTTGAACCTGGGTCAGCTGCATGCAAGATAAATACCCTACCAGCTTGTACTATCTCTCCACCCACCTTTTTAGTCTCCTGTTACAGACTGTCAACTCTCAGGTGCAAACAGAAGTTTCCAGCATTGTACTTGGTGTGGGGATGGTATTGGGAATTGAACTCATTACCTCGTACTTGAAAACCTTCAGAGCCTTTGAGCCATTTCCCAACCTCCACACTGTTTTTCAAATAATGTTTAGGTTTTGTTGTTGATGTACTTAGCAGGAGGAGTTAGAAAAAGTACTTCCTGGAAACAGAAGCCTGTTTATTGATTTTCACTAAGGGGATGTTTATTTTCTGTAGCTTGTCATAGCTTCTTCTGTTTCCTTTAGGCTTGAAGCCCTTTTCTGCTTCTAGGTGAAACATTCCCTACCCATATTCTTCTCTCGCATTCTGCCACTCTGCGGGGTGATTACTGTCTGTACCTCCTCTCTGTTCTCAAATCCTTGCCCTCTTACTAGTTGGCTTGGCTTCCTACTTCACTGAGAAAATAGAAATCACCAGAAGAGAGCTTTCCTGGATTGACCATCACTGCCATCCTCCAACTGAATAGCACCTGCCTTGTTTTCTGCCTTGTTTCCACCAGGAATGGTCTAAACTTCCCTTCAGTTTTCGTCCTTGATAGTATAGCAGTCTGGGCATTTGCCTTGCATACTTCTGACCTGGGTTTGATCCCTGAAACCACATATAGTTCACCAACCCCCACCAGGAGTGATCCCTGATCAGAGACCCAGGAGTAAACCCTGAGCACCGTTGGCCCCAAAACAAAACGGCAGTAAAAAAAGGTATAACAAACTGCAGCTAATTTTGTTATGTTGGATATGTACTGTTAAAAGAATAAAGGAGAGAGGAAAAAGGATGTTTGAGACAAGGTTGTGCCTGGAGAAGCAGGGAATGGATCTCGTATGTAAAGGACTAGCTCTAGTCCTTTGAGCTAGCTCCCTACTCTCTTAAATGTATTAATTTTAGAAATATTGGAATCCAGAGATGTAGCTTAGTGGTAGAGCACATGGTTTGTATATATAAAACTCTGGGCACCAAGGTTTGATCCTGGATACCAAACAAACAAATATTGGCATCTTTCCCCTTGGAAACTTTTCTTAGCTAGAGCAATGACTCTTTGTAATCACTTCTTTTATATTCCTTAAAAATGTTTTAGAGTATTATTTATTTAAATTTTAGTGTTAGAAGTACATATAGTTTATTGCTCTTTCAATAGGAATTCTTATTTATCTATTTATTTTTGTTTTTTGGGTCACACCTGGCGATGCTCAGGGGTTACGCCTGGCTTTGCACTCAGGAATCACTCCTGGCAGTGCTCAGGGAACCATATGGGATGCTGGGAATTGAACCCAGGTCAGCTGCATGCAAGGCAAATGCCCTACCCGCTGTGCTATCACTCCAGCCCCAGGAATTCCTTTTTAGAGGGTGTCCAACACATGACACTGCTGAGTACTCAGTAGGCCTGGTGCTCAGAGGTCACAACTAATGGTGTTTGAGGGATCATGTGATGCTGGGGATTGAACTGAGCTTCCTATATTCAAGGCACATCCCAGACCTTTGGCATATCTCTCTCACCCTCGAAAGGGTCTCTGGCCCTCGAAAGGGATTCTTTTACATTATTATTGTTATTATTATTTTTGGTCAGGGTCCCCTGACCCTGAAAAAGCCTCCAATTCAGTAACATTGGGAAGGACGAGAAAGGAGAGGTTGCTAAAAATCTCAGGGCTGGAACGAATGGAGAAATTACTGGCGTCTGCTCAAGGAAATCATTGAACAATGGGATGACAGTGAGATAGTGATTTTTGAAAACACACCTGAGTAATCTCAGGGTTTACTCCTGCCTCTGCACTCCGGGATCACTCCTGCTGGGACTGGGGGGACCATCTGTAGTGCCAGAGATGAAACCCTGGTGAGCACTATGCAAGCACGCCCTCTGCCCACTCCAGCTCCTTTTCTGTCATTGTAATTTTGTTGTTGTTGTTGGGCCACCCCTGGCCATGTTCAGGGTTTACCCCTGGCTCTGCACTCAGAGATCACCCCTGACAGACTCAGGGGTTCCTGGAATCAGTCCTGGGTCGGGCACATGCAAGGCAAGTACCCTACCGGCTGCACTATCCCTCTAGCTCCCGTTTCCATAATTTTTAAACTGGTATGAAAATTATGGGACTGATTACTTTTATTTCAAGTTTCTCTGTGGAATTGTTAAACCTGAACTCTTTCTCCATTTTTAATTACACCTTGTTTGATTCCACTGTGAGTTCTCATTTCTCTTTGCTCTATATTTTCTGTGCATCCTGATCGGACCTGTTCTCCTTTTAAATCTTTTTGGGGGGCTGGAGAGATAGCACAGCGGGTAGGGCGTTTGCCTTGCACGCAGCCAACCCAGGTTCGATTCCCAGCATCCCATGTGGTCCCCTGAGCACCACCAGGAGTAACGCCTGAGTGCAGAGCCAGGTGTAACCCCTGTGCATCGCCAGGTATGACCCAAAAGCAAAAAAAAAAAAAATATTTTTGGGAATTCCCCTTGCCTGCCCTCAGACTCTTGCCCCTTAGACCCTGGCCTTATTTTTTTTTTATTTTTATTTTTTTGCCTTTTGGGTCACACCTGGCGATGCACGGGGTTATTCCTGGCTCTGCACTCAGGAGTTACTCCTGGCGGTGCTCAGGGGACCATATGGGATGCTGGGAATCGAACCCGGGTTGGCCGTGTGCAAGGCAAACACCCTACCCGCTGTGCTATCTCTCCAGCCCCCAGACCCTGGCCTTATTTTGTAGCAACTTCCACCTGTATCACATGTTCCAAATACCCATTTGACATAAAAGTCTTTTACTGTTTGAAGACATAAAAACCACTTTCACATGCATGTTGTAATCTGTAATCTGTGGAGTGTGTCTGTTTTGCTGTGGCTGTGGCTGACTTGATGACTTCTTGGCTCCCTCTCAGATCCAGGCCTCTTCAGGGGAGATCAAATACACTGGTACCTTGGACTGTGCCAAGAAGTTGTACCAGGAATCAGGAATCCGAGGCATCTACAAGGGGACTGTGCTGACCCTTATGCGAGGTAACCAGTGAGGCCCTCCAGCTGAAGGCATCTTGGGGGCACTGTGGGCACCACAGAGGCTCTCGCCTAAATTACCTTCTTAGCTCTGGCACCATACAAACGATCACAGCTCTGATAAGACTAACATTGTGAGTCCTGCTTGTCCACAAGGTGAGCCCTGGCCAGAAAAGACACAAATGGGGCGTGGAGCAGCCTTTCAATCCTTCCAGGTGTGGACATCATGATAATGGCAGTTGGAAGGGAGTATCAGGTGTCAGTCATGGCCAGAGGGATCAGTGACTGAGGAAGTACATTGCTTCCAGGAGGCGGTGCCAGGAGAGTGGCAGTTTACAAGGCAGAGATTGCCCTTGGTCTTGGCCTGAGATGACTGCTTGAAGGAAGGCTACAAATCAGCGGTTGCCGTAACTGCTCACCTGTGCATGCCGCTCTCTTGGAGGGCTTTGAAGATAAACCAATGTCCGTGTGTTTGTGCTCACTCTTGCCAGAGTGCTATGAGGAGCTTCTCAGGACACCTTGAAGGGTCCAGGGCCAAGTTGGGCTTTTCTGAGTTCAAGAAAGTTGAGAACTTTCTATAATTCAGTTCATGTCTTTCTTGCCACTAACAGATGTCCCAGCCAGCGGGATGTACTTCATGACATACGAGTGGCTGAAAAATATCTTAACTCCAGAAGGAAAGAGGTGAGACTCTAGAAGAACTTAGAAGCTGCTTTACCCAGTCCCGGCTAGGCTGCCGTGCCTTAGGTCTGAAGGCAGAAATGGGGCTTGCTCTTGGCTCCTTGTAGACTTTCCTCTTGCTTCTGAGGTTCAGCTAACACTTCTTACCCTGCCTCCTCAGTGGAGCAAGTATTTGAAACAAATGCTTGTTATCTTCAAAGAGGGCCAGCTACCATGTCACAGAAGCCCTGACCTCCCCCCTCCAGCCAGTTCTTGCTCTGTAACTGCCCTGTTTGCCACAGCGGGGAGGTCAGAAAGTCTCTCTCAGAACCTGTGTTTGACTGGGACTGTGGTTGGTATTCTGCAGTGTCAGTGAGCTCAGTGTGCCTCGAATCCTGGTGGCTGGGGGCATTGCAGGAATCTTCAATTGGGCAGTTGCAATTCCCCCAGATGTGCTCAAGTCCCGCTTCCAGACTGGTGAGTGGAGGGTAAAGGAATGGATGGCTCTGTGGGAGGAGGTAGGTATAGGGGTGGGGGGAAGAGGAGTGGGCTCTAAACTGGTTGCCCTTGATGGGTAGCTCTCTTAGACCCTGGGATACTGATTCTTCTTGGGAAAACCCAGTCTCTCTGACCATCATGCTTCCTCATAGTCATTTATGTTCCGGGAACTCTACACTCCTTTTCATATGGCCTAAGTACAAAATAAGTGTGCTACAAAGTCAAATTTAGTTTTCTTCCCCATGGGCAAGAGAATTGTCTCATTTTTCATTCCTCTTCTGCATTTCTCAGTAATTTAGGCATCCATGTCTTTTTGTCCCAAGGTAAACTCTGTTGTTTGTAGACTGGTCCCAGATGACTTGCAAGGTGTCCCAAGGGCTGTGATGCCACAGAAAATCTCGACTTGTCTCTTTGTAGTCACCATGATCAGAGAAGGAAGCTTTAGGAAGCCCTAACTCTTGGGTTCTGTCCATAGCTCCACCTGGGAAATATCCTAATGGTTTCAGAGATGTGCTGCGAGAGCTGATCCGAAATGAAGGAGTCGCATCCTTGTACAAGGGATTCAATGCAGTGATGATCCGCGCCTTCCCAGCCAATGCAGTAAGTGACTGGTGGGACTGTGCTCTTCTTTCAGGCTCAGAGCAGGGTGCAGCTAGACTGGCTTCTGCTTATTACTTGGATTGGTTCCTTGGATTGGTTGGAGTCCTCAGTTTTCCCCACACAACCCTTGGCTAGAGTCTCCCTATCTCTTTGAATTGAGGGTCTTTGAGTTCCTCTTCTGGTGGTTATAGACTGGGGAGATAGTTCAAAGGACTAAAGTGCAAGTTTTACTTGTGGGAACCCTGAGTTCAATCCCTTGTACCACATGATCCTCCAGCACTTCTGGGCGTGCCGTCCCCACCCTCCAATAAAAGAAGTGAGCAATTATGTAGCATGCATTTTCTTCCCCTCTCAGGAATGAGAAAGAACAGTTTGAGTTCTAAGAGTAGTAATGAAGTTAGAAGGAGCCCAGGTCCTGATGGCAGGCTTGGTGCTGGGATCTTTATGAAGAATCACAACTTCTGCTGACTTCTCTCTTTCTCCCAACCCCTCTCCAGGCTTGCTTCCTTGGCTTTGAAGTTGCCATGAAATTCCTTAATTGGGTTGCTCCCAACTTGTGAGGATGAAGTGCAAGGTTCCAGATACCGGAAACTGTGACAGAAGAGGAACATGGGGCAGGACTAAAGTGTTCTGTAGGGTGGTGGGATGGTATGGTGGGATCAGTACTCTGTGTGTGGATGTGGTAAGACCATTGCCTTAATGACATTCTCTACCGTGTAAAACTTTGGTGTGCTATTTTCAAACTTGAATTCACTCTTGTCAATTTACAGAGCCTCAAAAGGATTTGGAGATGGAGTTAGTAGCTTCTAGATCAGATGCCACCTGTGGTCTGTGTGCCGCCAGTTGATTGCTGATGACTATACCCAGCATAGTTCTTGCTAAAGGAAGGAATCTCTCACTGCAGAGACTATGCATATTTTCCACCAGCTGGACAGAAATTAGACTCTTGGATCCCTAGCATAGAATACTAATCAGATTTCCAGGGTACCATCTACCTCTGACTTATACATGGGGATGTGGACTTGAAACCCACATCTGTCTGCCCAGGTGGATTGAGTATGTGCATCTAGAGGCAGATAGGTTATTAAAAATCAGGTAAAAATTTTTTAATGCATGAAAGTAATAAAAATGAAAACTTGAGTAGCCTAATTTTCCAAGAGTAGGTGGAGAGCTTCCTCTCCTACACCATAAGTTTTTACTCGATCGTCCTAGCCTGCTGGGATAAGTGAGAAAGCCCAGAGTGTAGGAAGGTTCTTTTTGCACATTCTTTTCTCATGAGAGTGCCCTATTTTAACAGGAAACAATAAATATTGTTTCTAATTTTTGCATTGTGTGAATGTTTTTCCTTTTCATTCTGGCTCATTTAGCCTTGGCTTAAGCTTTCAAGGATCCAGTATCCTTGCATGGTTGCTTTAGGCAGGGGCTTCAGCAAGAGGAAGAAGTTTTGACCAAGCCAACCTGTCTGGAACTGTCCCTGCTTAGGTGGCGAAGAGCAGCGGCTTGCCAGTGTGGTTGGTAACTATTCTCAGTCTTCAGTGGAAGCCTGCCATGCAGACTCTCAATAAGATTCCAAGCTAATGCATAGAGTGTTGTCCTGAAAGAGCAAAAACAATTGAGTTTTTATCTTTGGGTAGGTATGATGTCTGATGTCACCAGCCTATCTTTTTTCTTTTTTCTTCTTTTTGGTTTTTGGGCCACACATGGTGGTGCTCTGGAGTTACTCCTGGCTCTGCACTCAGGAATCACTCTTGCATTTTTTGGGATTTTGTGTGGTAACGGGCATCAAACCCAGGTCAGCCACCTGCAAGGCAAGGACTCTACCCACTGTACTATCGCTCTGGCTTCAAGCCTGTCTTAATTGAGGGGCTGCTGCTGCTGAACAGGTGTCGCCAGATGAGGTGTATTTGTGGTTGAGCGTTTTAAGCTAATGTGATGTGTCCTCTTGAGGAAGGCAGGATTTCTGGTGCTGGGCTTCTCTGATGTGTTCTCTCTGGCAGTCAATAGTTCCAGTTCCAGTGGCACTTCCTGCCTAACTGCGGCTGCAGAGACCCTTGGACTTTGGTTTCGAAACTATATCTCTGTAAATGGGTGAGAGGGATAGAAACCTACACCTAGTGATGTCACAAACCTAACAGGAAGCTGAGGGATTGGGGGTGTAAGGAAGGAAGCTTTATTCCCGTGAAGATATTTCTAGATGACTGGATAGAAATTACAGTCAAGGGGCTGGAGAGATAGTACAGAGGTTAAGGCAGTTTCCTTGCACATAGCCGACCTGGGTTCAGTGGTCCAATGCCTCGTACCCCATATGGTCCTCTGAGCACCATTGAGATTGATCCCTGAGTGCAGAGTTAAGTAAGCCCTGAGTACAAGGACTGCCAGGTGTGGGTAGCCCCCCACCTCCAAAAAAAGGAACTTCGGTTAAATGAAAAATAACACTTTTAAAAATAATTTATTTATTTTATGCTTTTTGGGTCACACCTGGCGATACACAGGGGTTCTTCCTGGTTATGCACTCAGGAATTACCCCTGGTGGTGCTCAAGGGACCATATGGGATGCTGGGAATCGAACCCGGGTCGGCCGCGTGCAAGGCAAACACCCTACCCACTGTGCTATTGCTCCAGCCCCTGAAAAATAACATTTTTATTATTTCTTTTTTGCAGTGCCAGGGATTGAATCCAAGGCCTCATACATGCAGAGTTAAGTGCCCTGTTTCAGAGCTACATCTCCAGTCCCCCCAAAAATGTGCTTTAGAAATGAAAATTGTGTGCACCCTGCATGGGAATATTAATGGTTTAGGATTAGCCCTCCCCCTTCTCATGTCCTTTGAAATCTTTGTTTAATGTCACTGATTCTGATGTTCATATGTGTCTCCTGAAGCTCTTCTCGGCACTGCCCAGTCCTGAGACAAGTTCTGAAACCTTGACCTTTGTCAGGAAGCCCCCTGTGATGCATTTGCATTCCAATCAAATGCCAGCCATCCCCTTGGCTCAGGATCACTCTTCCAGTCTATACTTAGGGATAATTTGCCCTTTCAAACAGCTTCCATTTAACAATGGAATGTTTTGGTTCCTTGATGTTAGTGATGGTGGATTCTTAAACTCCTTTGGGTGTTCAATAGATGTTAAGTCAAATAGGGAAACCCCTGCAGGCTATTTGTGAAGGGAGGAGAGCAGATGGTAACTCCCTCCAGGCTAGCACTTCCTTTTTATGATGCACTTTGAAATGCCACCTGTTCCTGATATATCTCTCCCTGCTGGGGGTAAGGGTTGTGGAGAGATAGGGGCCCTCCCCAGCAATGTCTGTCACAGATAGCCCTAACTGGGAACTGGACAGTGATTATTACAACTAGCCAGTGATAATAGCTTTACACAGGCCTAGAGACAGCTCTAACTAGGTCAAAGGCAAGGGGCAGAGGGAAGGTTGTTGCAACAGTAATCTGTTAAAAGCTACAGTAGCACCATTTTAGCTCTCCTGCTGGATGACCTTTACCCACAGGTCTTTACCCACATTTTGAGACTGGAACCCACTAAGCCCTTTCTAACCTTGATACGGATAAATTTAAATTTTATTCCCCCTCCCCACTGCCCCCCCCACACCACAATCACTGTCACTGTTAATCACTGTCCTCCCGTTGTTCATTGATTTGCTCGACCGGGCCCAGTAACGTCTCCATGGGAGACTTTGTTGTTACTGTGTTTGGCATATCAGATACATCACGGGGAGCTTGCCAGGCTCTGCCATGCGGAGGAGATACTCTCCGTAGCTTGCCAGGCTGTCCGAGAGGGGCGGAGGAATCGAACTCAGGTCGGCCATGTTGGCTGCATGCAAGGCAAACGTCCTATCCAGCCCACAATGTAACTTTTAATGCATAAGGAGCTTTCACTGTGTTGTTTTCATCCACGGCCGGTAGCAGTCAGGGACTACTGGTGGTGCTTGGGGGACCATTTGACACCAGGAATTGAGCTTGGGTTTTCTGCATGTAAAACATATACTTCAATCCTTTGAACTCTCTCTGGGCCCATGGATAGAATTTTGATCCCCACTTCCAGATGTGGGAAGCCAAGACTTAGGGTAAAATGATCTGCCAAGATCATTGGCAAGTAGGGACAAGACTGGTGTCCACAGGTCTGAAGAAAAGTTTATGACAGTACTGGAGGCTGTTGGGGCTGGTTGACCCAAGCTCCAAGGGGCCTGTCTCTACTAGGGGGCTAAAGCTTGAGCAACCAGCCTGAGTCAGGCGAAGAGAGGCAGAGTCCCAGCAGGCCCTGGGCATACTCTAAGATTTCCTTTTCTTTCTCTGCTCGGGTCAGCATACAGGCCTGTAGCTCTCCAGAAAGGCTCTCCCTTGTGTTCCAGGATCTGTCCTTGCCTTAAGCTGTCTCAGAAGCAGTCCCTGGATCCACTGCAGAGACTGACCTTTTCTTGGGACAAACTGAGAGAGGTGGTAGCTTTTACAGAAACACATGGTCAGGGAATTGATTGCTCCCCAGAGCATGGCTATTTGTTAAAAAATTTGTTAAGAAAGACCAAACTTCCTGGAATAGAGACAGGGACCTCATGAGGGAGGCATTATGGAGGTAATGAACAGTTTAGGTGACAGGAAATACAACCTCTGCCCCAATCAATTTAGCAAATTAGAGGCTCGTGAATAAGCCTAAGACAAAATTATTTATTTTAATTTAAAAATAAAAATAAATAAATAAAATAAAAAGAATTTATTTAAGGCAAAATAAAATAATAATGAATAAGCCTAAGACAAACTAGGAACTGAAGGTGTAGATACTAAATTAGCTGAAGGTGGTAGAGAACTGGCCGGGGTGGGAGGCAGAATGGTACTGGCATGCAAAGATGGTCATATGACCAGTAGGTCCCAGGAGAAAGTTTGGGGCACTGGAGACTGTCTTAGAAAAGCAGTTCATTGGACAGAAAAGGAAGGCGTGTTCTGCTGGAGCTGAGTACCCCAAGGAGGCAAAAGGCATCAGAGGAGAGAACTTACGTGGTCAGTGCCAAGAATAGTTCTCCAGAGGCATCTAGAAGAGTTTGGCTGTCCCTCTCCTTTTTTGTTTGTTTTTGGGTCACACCCAACATTGCTCAAGGAACCAAATGGGGTGCTGGGGATCAAATCCACTTACAAGGCAAGTGCCATACCCACTGTACTATCTCTGTCATTCCCTCCTTCTTAGAAGAGAAACTTTTCTTACTTGTGATTGTTTTAGGGCCACATCTCGCTAAGCTGAGGGATCACTCCTGATTGTCTTGGGGACCATATGGGGTGCAGTGATTGAACCCGTGTCAGCTGCTTTCAAGGCACTCTACCCACTGTTTTATTTCTCTGGCTCCTTTTAAGTAACAAACCCTTCAACAGTGAAAACCACTGTGTCCTTGGAAATAGCAGTTGATACTCTCCATTTCTAGTTTTACACCTATAGTTTTCAGGTTATTCTTGTGTCCCACCTGTTACTCTGCATTCATGCTTGAAAATATCTGAGAATTGGCCCCCAGATGTTCATGTTTGCTTGTGGCTTGTTGGTGTGATAGTCTACAGGATGTTGACTGAGCTGGGTATGAATAGGAGTGGGTTGGCATGGGCACTATAAGGTCTTTGGGACATCCTCTTCTCTGCTGGACTCTACTATTCTTCCTTTTCTAGGGTCTCTTAAGTTGTTTTTCACCCATCACTTGCTCTTGGCAGTTGTTTTCCAGTTAGGCTGTCAGTAGCTTTGGTTAACAGTTGTAGGATTACATTGGTTTGTCCTTTCTGCCTTCCCACAGGGAGGTTAGGTTTATTGTGCTCCCATTCCTCTGTGTTTACTAGTAACTTCTTTATTTATGCTCTGTTGACTTGTAAATATTGTTTTTCTCTTCTCCTTAAGTCCTTTGCATAGTTAATTCAGAGCAGTGTCCTTTTTGTATGGGCACAAGAAGACAGTTAATGCTATGCTTTTGTAACTTGGGAGTTAATTGATTCTGAATGATATTTACCTCCTGGACATGTTCTCTCAACTTAAGCCTCAGTTGCCCTTACTTCCTAGAACCCCAAAAGCAGAGTCCCAACGAGGGACTGGATGGACCCAGGGCAAGCTGTGAGCTATGTGCTACCCTGGCGTTGAAATGGGCCTGGCCAAAGTGCCATGATGCTTAACTCTTAGTTAAGAGCATGGTCGTGGGCAAATGCTATCATGATCCAAAAAGCAATAACTAGATTTGAACCCTGCTAGGGTTAGGAATGATTAATCCAGCCTGAGCACTGTAGTCTGAGTCTGTGGCGAGATGTTCCCAGGAGAACCACCCTACAAACTCAATGTATCTCTTACTGTGTCCATACAAAATAATATTAAGAAATAGAATTAAGATGTTAATTAAGTTATTGTACTAAGGAAAGGAGAAAAACACCTTAAGTGTTATTTTGCCCTTGAGCAAAGGAAAGACTTTCTTATGTTGATTTTGCTGCCAGAAGGGGGGTGTCTACCCGAAATGCTGGGAGTTGGAGAGAAAGAGAGAGAGGGAGAGGGAGAGGGGGGAGAGAGAGAAAGAGAAAGAGGAGGAGAGAGAGAGAGAGAGAGAGAGAGAGAGAGAGAGAGAGAGAGAGAGAGAATTAAGGGGAAGAATGAGGTGCAGGTGCGTTGAGAGAGACCAGGCTGCGAGATGGAGTGTGGAGAGATGAGCAGGAGAAACAGGAGGCGACAGGAATAAGGTTAGGGGAACTTAGTGAGACTGAAACAGGTGTGTGGGGAGAATGGAATAAATGGCAACTGATCACCAACCAACCAGCTTGGCCTCGTTTCCTTCTTCCTCTGCCCATGGCCTGGGCTGCCCCGGGAGGGGGAGCGGCCCGAATCCACTGAACATGGGCAGGGAGAGGGAGAGCCACTAGGGCTTCCCCTAGCCGCCCAGAGATTAAATCACCAGTGTCTCTTGTGGTGCAGGTAGACAGGTTTAGCTAAGGATAGAGAGCATGGGGGCTCAGGTCCTTGATACTTCTTTTTCTAGGGTTCTCTTCTTTAGTTAGCTCTTGAAGACCCATGGGATTCCACCTGCTGCTGAAGGGTTTCCCAGAAGGAATAGAGATGAACTCCCTGCTCTGGGGACCACCATATGCTAGGGGAGGGAAAAAAGCTGGTCCTGGAGGTTTACTCTAGACTTGTCTGAATAAGTCTAAGTAGGAAGGTAAGGAGCAGCTCAGCTAGGGGTTACTACTTTCTTGGCCCTCACTCCTTTCAGGTCTGAGCACGCTTCTTATTTACTTACTAACTTTTTAATTTGCTCTGATGTCTGGGATTGAAAAGGCAGCTGTATACATTAGGTAGATACTTTACTACTGAGCTACATCATTACCCCAAAGATTTTTGGTGGTTTTTTTTGGTGGGTTTAGGTCACCAAATGATATTTCAGGGGTTACTCCTAGTAGTGCTCAGGGGACCATATGGAATCCTGGGAATGGAACCCATGGAGGTCAAGTGCCCTACTCTTTGTACACACTCCAGCCCCAGGATGTCTTTTATACTTTTGTTTTGGGACCATACCTGGTGGAGGTTTGGGGGACCATGTAGTGATGGGGATTGAACCTGGGGCTCCCGCGTGCAGAGTACAAGCTCCAGCCATTTGAACTATCTCCCCAATTCCAAGGATTTCTTTTATCTTTTTTATTTTTCATTTAAAACAAAATTTTTTTAAGGGCTGGAGTGATAGCATAGTGGGTAGGGTATTTGCCTTGCATGCGGCCAACCCGGGTTCAATTCCCAGCATCCCATATGGTCCCCCGAGCACTGCCAAGAGTAATACCAGAGTGCATGAACCAGGACTAACCCCATCACACATCAGCGGGTGTGACCCAAAAAGCAAAAAAAATTAAATTAAAAAAAAAAGTTTTTTAAAGCTACACCCAGCAGTGCTCAGTGCTTATTCCTGGCCCTATGCTCAGGGATCACTTTTTGCAGTACTCAGGAATCCTCAGCACACCACCATATGTGGTGCTGAGGATCCAGCGAGAATTGGGTGCATTCAAGGAAATGTTTCACTCTTTATGTTACCTCTCTGGCACCCAGGAATCCCTTTTGTGTGTGTGTCTGTTTTTGAGGGCCACACCTGCTATGCTTATGGCTTACTCCTGGCTCATAATCCACCAGCAATCACTCCTGGTGGGGCTTGGGGGACTGTATGTGGTATTGGGGGACCAAATCTGGGTCCACCACATGCAAGGTAAGTACTTTACGTGTTGTACTATCTCACAGCCCTGCCACATTCCTCAACCCCCGCCCCTTTTATTATTGGAGGGTTTTTTTTGTGTGTGTGTATAGGGGCATACCCAGTGATGCTCAGAGGTGTGTTTAGGGACCTACTCCTCCTTGTGGGGCTTGGGGGACCATATGGGTGTCAGGGATTGAAACTGGGTCTCCAGCCCTTTTAAATGTCATGCTTGCTAGATGGCTCGATGCGCAGGCTGTAAGACATTTAAAAACAAGCCGGACAGGTCTGCTTTTGGCAAAAGTTGATAGGTCTTGCTTGGAGTGTTTGAAAGAACTTGCACTTTTTTTTTATTAGTGAGACACCATGAGGTACAGTTGTAGACTTACAAATTTTTGTGCTTGGGTTTCAATTATACAATGATCAAATACCCATCCCTCCACCAGTGCCCATTTCCCACCACTACGGATCCCAGTATCCCTCCCACCCCCCATCCCCCCATCCCACCCTGCCTCTGTGGCAGGGCATTCCCTTTTATTCTCTCTCTTATTGGGTGTTGTGGTTTGCAAAAGAGGCAGTGGGTGATGATCATGTTTGGTCTATAGTCTACTTTCAGCATGCTTCTCCCATCCTGGGAGGATCCTCCCAACACCCTTTATTTGGTGCTCTCTTCTCTATCTGAGCTCCCTTTTCCCCTAGCATGTGTGGCTGGCCTCCAAGCCATGGAGTAAAATTCCTGGTACTAATCTCGGCCATTCTTGGGTGTTATTCTCCTATTTTGTTACTTTATGTTCCCCAGATGAATGCAATCTTTCTATGTCTATTCCTTTCTGTGTCATTTCGCTTAACATGATAATTTCCATGTAGTACCACTTGTCTGTAAATTTTATGACTTTGTCTTTTCTAACAGCTACATAGTACTCCATTGTGTAAATGTGCCAAAGTTTCTTTAACCAGTCATCTGAAGAACTTGCACATTTCTATTCTCAAACCTGGAGTAGCTTTCTTTTACCCTATTTTGTAATTAAAATTAAGGTCCTGACTGTGCAGGAAATGTGGCAGATCCCTAGGTGTGGTGGTATAGTGGGAATCACAACTAGTTTCCTGGGTATGGGCTGACTCCTGAGCCCTTGGAAAGATTAGGATAACTTAGAAGTGAAAGAACTGGCCGGAGAGATAGAACAGTGGGTAAGGCTCTTTCCTCTGAGCCCCGCCAGGAGTGATCCCTGGGCACCACTGGTTGTTGCCCAAAATTAAAAAAAAAAATAAGTGAAAGAACTAAGAACCATGCCCTTCCAGCCTTTTTTCTGCTTGTCCTCAGTTAAATCTTCATATTCTGAGATAAGAAGCAGAGGTTTGAGGCTGAGTGGCCTAGTTCTGAGACTCTGAGGTCAGAAGAACTGTTTCATAGATTCTGCTCGATATGTGGAAATTTAGTAAAACTCCAAGAGTCTGCCATAAGAATGCACCAGGGAACAAATTGGGGGTTGCCCCTTCCCTCACAAAGTTGATGGTCCAAGACTCCCAAAGGTCTAGGGAATTGTCCAAGGAGGCACTGCTGTTTGGCTGAGAGGCTGGGAGGTTTCTGCACCAAGTAAGAATCAGGTGCTTCTGCTTCCAGAATCTCAACTCCCAGCTGCACTGAGCTCTGGGGCGTGTGCCAAGCCAATAAAAATCCTAGTAAGAATTTTAATTAATACTTGTTAATTACTAGGTGCTCCTTAGCTATCCCAAGTGCCTTTCAAATTCTCAGACTTATCGCTGGACACTTTCTCAGTGGCCTCTCTCAGGAGAAGGGGGACTAGTTTATGTCCACCAGATCTTCGGTCAAGGTTTCAGTGGGCCATAGACATTTCCAGAAGTCTCCACCTTTTTCGTTTCCCTTCCAATCTGGTGTGGGTGTGGGTAAAGGGGCAAGTTGGGAAAGAGCCCACCCCTCCCCAAGTTAAGTGCTTTGAGGTCAGTTTAATAGCACCAAGCAGTTCTGGCCAGTGGCCAGGGGCAGCTGTGGAGAGGCTGGGTATGCACCCTGTGCAAAGGGGATAGATCCTGGTGGGAGCGCCCGCGAGGAGCAGTAGGTAGACCTCCTTTCTTCTTTTCCCTGCATTCCTTCTTGGCCTGTGGAGGGTTGCCTGAACGAGCTGCTTCGAGCTTAGTTCTCCCCCCACAAGCCACTGCAACTCATACTGGTCTGCACCGGTCTGCCCCTTCCCCCTTGCTCTCTCCTGTCAGTCTTCAGAACGGCCGGGCGCTCAGTCCTTGTCCACCTTGCACCCAACCTCTGGACTGACCCCGATCAGCAAGCAGCCCTTTATGTCCCTTTCCTCTATGCTCAGATGGCTTTCCTCCACACTCCTCTAGACCCGGGCTCCGAACAGTCCCGAGTGCCACCCCCTAAAATGGTCCCTCTGGGCCGGGAGCGATAGTACAGTGGGTAGGGCGTTTGCCTTGCACGCGCCCGCTCAGGTTCGATCTCCCGCAGCCCGTAGGGTCCCCCGGGTCCACCAGACGTGATTCCTGAGTGCAGAAGTGCATAACCAGGGATAAGCCCTGAGAACCGCCTAGTGTGCCCTCCCGCAAAAAAAAAGAAAAAGAAAAAGAAAAAAGAGTAGACCTTTTACTTTCCAACCCATAGCAGGCGGAAGCACAGAGCAGGTCAAGGGTGTCCCTGCACCCAGAAAGTGCTGGCAAACAAAAGGCACGCAGCGTGCGCGGAGAGAAAGCCGGAAAGTACTCCCCGCGAGTAGCTGAGAGACACCCACGACTCCGCCGCGTCGTCGCTTCATTCACAGCCGCCTCGGCGGCGTCTGGACGAGGGCTCGGGTCCCGCAGCCCGCAGGCCGACTGCCCAGCGGCGCACGCGCACTGCGGGCCGGAGCCCGGCGGGAGCGCGCACGCCCGCGGCCGCGTGCGTCACAACCCGGGCTCCTGCCCCGCCCGTCCTGCTCGCCCGCTCGTCGGTTCCCCCCGCGGCGGCGGCGGCTGCCCAGTGACAGCGACGGCGCCGCCAGGCCGGCCGGAATAGCCGAGGTTCGCACGGCCCGGAAATACACTCCGGGCCCGAGCGCGGCGCGGCGGCGGCGGCCGGCGGCGGGGGAAGCCAGGCCCGAGCCGGGCGGCGCGGGAGACTTCGCGAGGCGCCGGGCGCGAGGCCGGCGTGAGGGAGCGCGAAGGTAGTGGCCGCCGGCGGCCCGGACCCCGCCTGTCCTCGCGACCGCCGCCGCCGCCGCCGCCGGCATGAGCCACATTCAGATCCCGCCCGGGCTCACGGAGCTGCTGCAGGGCTACACGGTGGAGGTGCTGAGGCGGCAGCCGCCCGACCTCGTCGACTTCGCGGTGGAGTACTTCAGCCGCCTGCGCGAGGCCCGCTGCCCGGTGGCCCTCCCGGCCGCCGCCGCCCCGCCTTCCTCCTCCCAGAGTTCTGAGCTCTTCGGGGACCCCGCCGCCGACGCCAAGGCGGACTCCGAGTCGGAGGACGACGAGCTCCTGGACGGTAGGCGGCGGCCTGCGCCGAGGGTCGCGGTGGGGCGTTGGGGGTGGTGTGGGGGGGGGGGGGCAGCGCCGAGCCCAGCACCCGGGGCTTGGACGTGCGTGCACCCGGGCCCCGTGGGTCGGGCTGCCCGCGTGCGCCACTCGCGCGCTCGTCTCCGCGCTTCCTCGGAGCCCCGAGTCGCCCCCCGAGAGCCCCGGCGGAAACGTGCGCACCGTCGGCCCGCGTGGTGGCGTGGAATCCGCTGCCCCGGCCCCGGCCCGGCTTCGCAGGCCGCCCTACCAGAATATTCGCTCCCCGCGTCACGCACTTAATAACCAGAACGGGAACTTCGCTTAAGCGTGAATTGATTTTATGCAGTCACCGTGAAAACTTAAGCAGAGGCAAAAAAAAAAAAAGCAGAAAAGGTGAAATGAACCCCTATATGCCCCTATATGCCATCATGGAGCATTCAGCAGGTTAGATCTGCCACGAATGCTTCAGCTTTTATAACCCCCATCCCCTCAGTCACCACCGCCCCCCGAAGTATTGCAGGAATAAATCAAGAGCAGATCCTTTCACCTCTGCATCAATGAGTATGCATTTGTTCAAATATGGGGCTTGGAAATACTTACATTTTTAACATGTCCCAAAATGATGGGATCAAATTGGTCAGAGGAAATACCGTCTAGTTTAGCACATGGGGCACAGGAAAGAAGACAAGTGCTACTTTCTAAGTCAGGTTTAAGCAAGCAGTTCAGAAAATAGGAAGCAATTCCATTTTTCTTGGTTGCTTCAATCTAGAGCTTTTGCAAATTTAACAATGAAATTATACTGCTTTTGAGCAGCCAAAATATAACAGCAAAGTGCTCGAGACAAAGTTAGAGATTTAGTTTTATTAGATCATGCTGAAGAAACGGAGATCTCAGTTGAAGCAACTTCAAGTTATAAAAGCAAGAAATTAATTGGTCATTGCTTTGCTTTTGCGGGTTCTGAGTTTCAGTTTGTTGAGATGAACCATGAACTTCCCTAATGTTAAGAGTAGATATTGCTCTTCCTTGTTTCCCTTGACTGCACATTAAATGAGGAGTTTTAACCTTAAACTTGGAAATCAGATTATTTTCCAAATCTCTGCCTTAGAGTTTGCTTTGTGGCCTTGGACAAGTTGCCAAGCCTTCTTGATTTCAAATTCACTTATCTGAAAGTGGGGACAGCAGTGACAAGATCTCCCAGAGATTTTTTTTTTAAAGCTTTTACTTTAGGAATTACTACTATCTTTGTTTCACCTTCAGGTCTTTAAATCAAAGTTGTAACCTGCTTTGTGATATTTTTAGATTTACCTGACCCTGAAAGAGCCCCCAGTATGCCATTGGGCTATACTAGCATGTGACAGGCATGAATGCAGACATTACTGGTGCCCGTTCGAGCAAATCGATGATCAACGGGGTGATAGTGATAGTGAAACTTTAGAACTTTAAAATTTTAGAAGTCCCAGGTGGATAAAATAAACCATATAAGCTGTGGGGTTTATGTGTTCATTCTCTGTCTTTGGGATCTTTTTCAAAATCAAGTTGTCTAAAATCTTTGTAAACCTTTGTTTAATTTGTTTCTGTTTTTGGGCTATACGGAGCAGTGTTCAGGACTTATTCCTAACTCTGTGCTCAGAGATCACTCAGGGCAGGGCTCAGGGTACCAAATGGGATGCTGGGGAATGAATCTGGGTCAGCTGAATGCAAAGTAAATACCCTACCTGTTATACTAGTGCCCTGGCCTGCCCTGTTTTATTTTTCCTTCTTATATTTTATTCTGCTTATAATTATAAAAATCAACAAAAGGTGAAAGTTTGTTTTCATAAAATAGACTAAAATAAATTGCACAGGAGATACCTATCATGAGAGAAAAGCCTAGAAAATAGTAAGTATTTGGGGAGGATGTAGAGAAGTTAGAACCTTTATTCTTTGTTGATGGGACTATAAAATGGTCCAGCTGCTGTGGAAAACTTTTTGATGGATTTCAAAAAGTTAAATGGAATTACTATGATGTAGTAGTTCCATTGCTTTATGAATACCCAAAGAATTGAAAGCTGAGAGTTCGAAAGATGGTTCTGTGCTACTGTTCTTTGCAGGGTCATTATAAAAACCAAAAGGTAGAAACAACCTCTGCAGGTGATCAGCATCAGTAGATAAATGGATAATTAAAATGTGGTTACACATACAATGGAGTAATGTTCATTTTTAAAAAACCATGATATTCTGATTCTGCAACATGAATGAACCTTGAAAACATTATGCAGCACCATAGAGATAGTGCAGAAGTTAAGGCACTCGCCTTGCATGCAGCTGGCCCTAGTTTGATCCTTGGCACCACAGATGGTCCCCTGAACACTACCAGGAGTAAGACCTGAGCGTTGCTAGGTATGATTCAAAAATAAGACAAAAAAAAACATGCAAATATGCTAGACACAAAAGATCAAATGTATGATTTCACTTACATGATATATTTAGGCAAATTCATAGAAATAGAAAATAGACAGTAATATGGACATTTGTAAAACATGTTACTTGAATAAAAATAACTGAAAAAATTTAAAAATCATTCCAGATTATAAAAATGATGTATTGAATTTTGTGGAAATATAAATTTTAAAATGTGGCATTGTGTTTTGTGGATGTAAATATAAACAGCTGCTAGAATTGTAAAGAAAATTACATGCGTTCTGTGAAGTTTTTATAATAATAACCAGAAAACATTCTTTCATTAAAACTTAGGGGGGGAAAAATCTTATTCAGAGTCAGATGAATAGGCGTGATATTTTTGTTGGTTTTCGTTTTGTTTTATTTTTGGGCCTCTCCTGGTGGTGCTCAGGGGTTACTCATGGTTCTCTACTCAGGAATTACTCCTGGCAGGCTTGGGGGACTAACTGGGATGCTGGGGATCAAATGCCAGTTGGCTACATGCAAGGCAAATATCCTACCTTCTGTTCTACAGCTCTGACCCTGCAATTTTTGAAAAAAAGAAAAGAACATTGCATATCTAGTAATTTGAAATATTAGGATAATAAGCCCACAGTACTTAAAATTTAAAATAGGATAAGGGAGTGGTGGAACTGTACCTAACAAAGAAATTGGTAAGATTCTTTATTGGTGGGCTGAGGAGTTGGCTTAAAGGATTGGAGTGTATGCTTTGCATGTGGAACTCTGGGTTCATTCTTCTTGAGTTCCAAGTACCATGGGGATTGACCCCAGAGCATGTCTGCTGTGACTCAAAACCAGAAAGAAAGAAAAAAGATTTTGTATGACTAATCAGCATTTTGGTTTATTAAATTGTATATTGATGTAAACTGTAAAAAATGTGAGGGCCAGGGAGATGACTCAAACGGATGTATGGGACCAAGCATGCACAAGGCATGGAATTCAATCCCTAGTGTCACATGCCTCCCCAGTACTGCAAAGTACAGTTCGGGAACATTGCAGGGTTGTACTCTATTGCCAGGCCCAAGCACCAATACACTTAAGTCTGCAATCTACTGATGAGTGTAGCTAGAAGTGAGCCCCACCCCTCCAGTACTACAGGAGGCTCTATAAAAATTTTATTAGCTATTATTGGTTGTTTTATTAGCAGCTTTGATAGCAAACAAATACCAAGTATGAAGTGTTGTAATGAGTATTGAACTCTTGGGAAAGCCTGAAGTATTTAGAATTATACAGTACTTTTTATTTTATTTTATTTTATTTTTTTTTGCTTTTTGGGTCACAACTTGTCTTTTCCAATTTATGATCAAGAGAAATCAGATCACATCACTCCTGTTTTTTAGTTTTAGTTTTCGAGCCATACCAGGCATTTGCCTTATACTCTGCTCAGTCTCTCTGGCTCCACTTATGTTGAGTTTAAATTTGCTCAGTACAAATTGTGTGAAATCCACATACTTTCTATGGTCGACATAGTATTGCAAGATTTGGTTCCTGTTTTTCTCTGTACCTCTCTCTAGCCCACCATGACCTTGCATGCCAAATTTATTTCTGTACTTGCTGGGCTCACTCTTTACCCAAGTAGTCTGTCATTGCTGTCGATCCATTTCTGAATCATTATTTCTTAATTCTGACCAGTTATCTCTTTTTCTTTCTTTGTAAGCCTCAGCTTGCCTTTCCGGATTGCCCTGCTTAGAGTGCTCCCTCTGTTAATTTCTTTAGTAGCAATCCAGGTAGTTACCTTAGTGTCATAGTTATCTGGCATGCTCCATGAGAATGATAATACCCAGTGATAATTCACAAAGATAGAGGTTCCAGTAGGATTGTTGTACAAGAGGTCAAGTGCCAGTTGGTCTGGGTATTTGTGTGTAGCGGGGACTGCAAAAGATTCAGACAAAATGAGGAGTACATTTTGAAGTGAAAAAGATGCTGGTGGTAGCTTAAAGGAGCAGTGGTTGTGATGAGAACATTTTTTGGTTTGGTTTTACTAAAAATCAACTTTAGCATGTTTATGTGCAAAGGGAAAGAGTCTGGGAAGGTAGGAGCTGATGGAGAAAGAATAGATGGGTTCATTAGAACATAGGGAAAAAATGGGAATTTGATATTTCAGAAGTCTTATTCAGAAATTGGAGGTTTATTTTTTTTTGTCTTGTTTGTTAATTTAAGGTTTTACTTTTGTGTGTGTCCTTGATTCTAGCTAGGTCTGTCTTTCACTTGAGTTACATAGAAATGAATGTTAGAACTAAAGGAAAAGGATCTCTTTAGATCAGAGTTGTGTGTTTTTTTTTTTTTTAGCTGTATATTGTCTGCCATGGGTATATGAAAGAAATTGTGTGCAGATATATGTATATGAAATAATTTGTGTGTGTGTGTGTGTGTGTGCATGCATGTATTGTACCAGGTAGTACTCCCAGTGTCTTGGAAGTCGCTCCTGATCATAATCAAGGGGCCATGTCAGGGATTAAACCTAGGGCTCCAGCATGCAAAGAATGCATTCCAGCTCTTTGAGCTCTTTCCCTGGATCCCAAATAAAGGTTTTTGTTTTTTGTTTGGGGT